CCGTCACCGCCGTCTGCCTGGGGCTCTTCGTGGTCGGCGTGGTGGGCAACGTCCTGACGGTGCTGGTCATCCGCAGCTACCGCGACATGAAGACCACCACCAACCTCTACCTGGGCAGCATGGCCATCTCGGACCTGCTCATCCTCCTGGGGCTGCCCTTCGACCTCTACCGCCTCTGGCGCTCCCGGCCCTGGATCTTCGGGCAGCTGCTGTGCCGCCTCTCCCACTACCTCAGCGAGGGCTGCACCTACTGCACCATCCTCCACATCACCGCCCTCACCGTGGAGCGCTACCTCGCCATCTGCTTCCCCCTCAAGGCCAAGGTGGTGGTCACCAAGCGCCGGGTGAAGGCCGTCATCGGCCTCCTCTGGGCCTTCGCCTTCCTCTCCGCCGGCCCCTTCTTCTTCCTGGTCGGCGTGGAGCAGCCTGACAACCACACCGACTTCAGCCGTGAGTGCAAGCCCACCCCGCAGGCCATGGAGTCCGGCCTGCTGGCCGCCATGTTCTGGGTCACCACCTCCTACTTCATCCTGCCCGTCATCTGCCTCAACGTCCTCTACAGCTTCATCGGCCGGGAGCTGTGGCGGGCGAAGCAATGCCCGTCTGCGGGGCCCCAGCACCGTCCTTCGGGAGAAGGGGCACCGCCAGACCGTCAAGATCTTGGGTGAGTCCCTTCTCCATCCCCCCTTGGGGCCATGGCTGGGGCTAGGACAGGGGCTGGGGAGCCATGGCTGGGGCTAGGACAGAGGCTGGGGGGGCCAGGCCTGGTGCCAAACCACCCACAGCTCCATGCAGGGTAGGGGTGGTGCAGGGGAACATCCCAGCCATGCTGCCGAGCCCCTCCAGTGCTCCCGGGGACTACCACGGCAGGGATTTCACTCCCTCAGGCTGAGGCTTCACCTTGCGTAGCGCGGCACATCCAGCCGCATGACAGCTTCCTGCAGAAATACCCTTTTTCTGAATTTTACCAGGGAGAGCCAAGTACAAGGTGGTCTGCAACTTCAGAAAAACTGTGGTGGCATCAGTGGTCTCTGCCAGTGGGCAGCAGCACCTCTGCGGAGTAAATTTCTGCTTCTGAAAAATAAGTTTGATTTTCTTAGCGGTCTTGCGTAGCTCGCCTAGGGGTAAATCTGCTGGCTGCCCAAGCAGGCTGAAAAACCAGCATCTTAACCCGTTAGAGCCGTTGCAGACAAATCACATAATCCCGAAGTGCTGCCTGCTGGTGTAGGATGCTGTTAGCTCTTAGTTCGTTCCCTTAGTCATATGTTCATTAACATCAGGCTCTGGGAAGTTAGAGATCACAGCCTGCCCTGGGGCTTTAAAGTTTGTAAATAGTGACCCACCTGAAGGGAAAAAAAATAAGGGAAAGAAGAAATCCAACTGTTGTCTAATGAGCATAAACCAAAATCCCTTGGTTATTTTCTTTCTACCTTTAGCGAAGGTTTTACATACTACTTGGGCAACTTTTTTTTTTTTTACCGAGGTTGTAATCAGCTGGATGGAAATAGCATAGCACAAAGGAAAGAAACCAGTAAGCCCGAGAGAGTACGTTGTGATAGCTTATTTGGGGAGGGTGTTTATGTTGGAGTAGGCACAAGGTTTTCCAACGGAGCTCCTCGGCATCCACTGAACTGCACCAATTCCCCCAAAGAGCCAGCAGCGTTACGCGTGTGATGCGTTTCAGGGGTAAACTTGCTTTGGCTATTTCCCCTTTTTTTTAAGCTCCAAGAAACACAAAGGATGCTCCACACATTATTATTTGTTTTATATCCGTGCATTTAGAAAATAAAAAATAATACATAGGTGTAGTAATACGCTTATATACTTGTTCCTCATCTGCCCCTGCTACATTGCCACTGGAAAAGTGTTTGTATTTGTTTGCATTGTGCTAAAATGCGACGCAGGATCACAAGAATAGCTGGAGTGACTCAGGCTAGAGATCCGGCTAGTCAAACATCTGTCTCCAGCAGTGTCTGGGATACGTGTAGCGGGAAAACAATAGACCAGCGGCACTGTAAGTCTCTACATTAGCTACACAG